TACAGAGATGTTTGTACTTATGTTCGAGAGGCTACAGAACTATTAGGAAATTCCACTCCTTTCATTCTTTATCGTGCGACACTAATTCAGCTTGAAACATACATCTTATATTCCTTTACATCCACTCGTATGTGATGATGTGCACTCGGTATCAGCTATGCTACAATGGTACGGAATGCTGCGAATAGGATATAAGGGGGCCAAGGATGCTCGATCATTGTCTCTATTGTCCAAACTAAGGACGCGAACATATTGGTATATCTCCAGTTGTTCAGGTGTGGGATGCAACAGGTTCTTGTCTCTGATTAGTGTTGTACTATTGTGGATCATCAAATGTTGTGTCCTATGGCTTCGTGCCAAGTGGAAAGTTTACTATCAACAAACAGATTGCATAGGCAGGTGTTATATCAGCTTTGGGTCTGAGGTATATATGCGGTATATCTGTATTACTGCTAAATCTAAATTTCAGTATCAGAGAGGTTAAAGAAGCATCTTCAGATTCACAGAAGATCTTTTCAGATTAGGTATCTTAGTTGCAGCATTGTTGGGTGCTTCAGAGGAAATATAGAGGTTTATGGGCCTTCAGATGACTTGGTTCGTGCTAGGATCGTCTGCAACGAACTTTGATTTGGAATCATTGTGTACCGATGAGCAAACGTACTAACTTAAAGACAAATCAAGGAATATTCGAGCAAGTATGTCAACTTGGTGGTGTTGGGTCAGCACGGTAACAAAGGTAATTGGTTCTTTTGGTATGGTAATACCTTATCGACATTTTTGTGGCAGTACTCTTGGGTTTGGCGGCTTGTGTGACTTGGTTGATTTGGGGAAGTTCAGTTTTTATGGCTTGGTGGTAGTGGACGGGTCTCAAAGAGTTCTGGTAGTGTCGACCATGGCTTGAACCAGATGTCTTCTATCGACATAAGGAACATGTTGCGTGTTACGATTTTCGCTTGGATGGGGTCACAAGTTCAGACAGCATGGATGATTTTAGATATGTAGAAGAATGCTAGCATCATTTGGTACCACCTGAGAAGGGTGCGCACTCTGCTTCGACTTGCGGATGCCTGACTAGTATTACGGTAATCGGCTGATTGATCGACCGCGGATGTTCAGATTTTTCTATATGGCACAAAGGCATATTTATCATGGGATGATCGTATATAATGAAGGTATCAGTCATTTGAGTAGTGCAATTGTGATTGGATATGGATATTTTGGCATTTTAAGGATCGAAAGACTAAGAAGTTTCTCAGAGGAAACTTATTCCATAGTTGCGGACGATAAAGGTATGCTAAGAGGTTGGTGACTGATGATATGTGCTATAGATATGCTATAGTGGCCTTTTTGGAGGCTATCTACCTATTTCGGAAGGATCAGAATTGATTTGGAGACCACTGGTAGGCTTAATGAGAATGTATATTCTACATAAGGTCAGACTTGTTTACTCAGCACAGTTATTATAGCGAGTGGTGTCATCAGTTAGAATTGACCTTATTCGTGTTCTGATGTGTTCTATGTGTTACTGTTCTATGCCACGACGGATTGTGAGACTCTTGACTATTTACATATGATGCAGTTATGTTTGGGCTTTGTATCGAAATTCAAGCGAGATTTCTCTTGGGGTGTTGAATGGTTGATTGTGCCTTGGTTATGGTCTTCCTGTTTCTGGTATATTGTGATATCTGTATCTCCATGGTTATGGTCATTTGCTTCGTATGTTTGTTGTTGATATGGTTATGGTTATTGATTGTGAGTATCATGGCTCGACGTATTCTAGGTGGACCAGTGTCAGATTGGGTCATGCATCGCAACGACGTTATGTTAGGATATGATCCTTTGTGCTTATTTCATGTGTTATGTTTCTCCTTGTATGGTGTATTGGCAACATTGAGCTTCATGGTGGTATATGTTAAGCTGGTGGGATGGTTCTTTCATTTTCATTCTCTTTCCATCATTGGTATATCTGAGTAATTATTTATTGGTGCACAGATTGCATGGTATGTGGCTCTAAGTAGCATTTGTATGACAGGTCAGTCGAGTAGCTTGTATTGGATGAGGTGAGGTTATTGGGCTTGAATGAATGCCAACGGATTTGATTAATGTATGTTTGGAAGAATAGTGTCACTAGTCGGCTTAGATTTTGGCTATGGTTACTATCGGGCAAGAGAGCTCCACGACCTGTTGATCTGATGGGTGGTAATGAGTTTCTTATGTCTCTTTCATCATTGGCAGTGTACGAAGGTTCAGAACAAGGGTTTAGTTGATATGAGATTTGTTACCAGTGTTGGGTTGGTTATCGAGCAGCTATTGCGGTTGGAAATTATTACTATGAGTATTTGAGTTATGTGGTATATCATTTGATTATGTAAAGAGATATGGTTATGGACTGATACGGCTTGTTTAGAGTTATACGGTGCATAGATGCAAGAATAGGATCATATAATGAGTTTCGGATGTTGGGGATTTGGGTTTTAAGGTTTATGGAGTAAGGTTAAAGTAAGGTTCCTCTGTTAGGTGGTGTTTTCAGGCTTATATGGATTGGGGCGACGTGGTTTCACCGATATTTATGTGTATGGTGAGGTTATATGGTAATTTGTGGCTTTGGAACGACTCTTGGCACGTTCGAGGACGAAGGTATGTTTAAGTGGGGGGGGGGATGTAATGACCCGACCCACCATTTTGAGATTTAGCATACCATTCGGTGGTTTGAGACTTAGAGTAGCTTCATATTATATATTATGACTTTTTTGTATGGTTCGTTCGGTTTTCGAGCGGTTCAGGATTGATTTGGAAGAATGGTTCTCATTTTTAGAAGCTTTAAGTTGGAAGAATTAACCAAGGTTTGACTTTTGGGTAAATAGATTTAGAATCGGATTTTTATTATTTCAATAAGTTTGTATGATAATTTTGGCCTTGTACGTATATTCGGATTTGGTTTCAGAGGTTCCTATAAGAATTCATCACTATTAGTCGAAAGTTGGCAATTTGAAAAACTTAAGAGTTCATAAGTTTGACCAAAAGTTGACTTTGATGTTATTGGACTCCAATTGGTATTCTATATAGTTGAATTGAACTTGTGTGCAAAGTTTGTAAGTAATCTGAAGTATTTAAGTGTGATTCGAACAATCTTTTGAAAGAATGAAGATTTAACAACTTAAGAGAAATTCTATTCGGTTTGATCCTCGATTCTTTGTTGTGGTATTTCCGTGGGTTTTTTGAGGATTTGGATAAGTTTTATGATGTATTGTTACTTGTAGGTATGATTGGATGAGGCCCAAGAGTCTCGGGTATATTTTGGAACATTGGTTGAGAAACTAGCTAAGTTAAGGATTTGAAATTTGACCATGGTCAATATCAGATCAAGATGACCTCTTTACGGTATTTTGAGTATGTGAGCAGGTTCGTAGCGTGTTTTCTGATTGAAATGCATATATGGTTTGTGTCCAGGAGGTTCCGAATGAGTTTGGGTGCTAAAACGAAAATTTTCTTATTGCTGGTTTCTTCTAGTGTAAATAATTCCGAAAATGTCATTGAAATTTTTAGATTTCTTTTAAAACTTCAAAACATCATATCTTACTTATTTTAAGGCCAAATTAGATGATTCAAGAGTCTATCTTGGGTGTAATCTTATAAGGATCGTGTTTGGCTTATCAAACGTAAGTTTCGGGATCATCTAGGACCTAAATCGAGTTGGAACAACTGCTGCATTTTTTTTCCTTATTTCAGAATTAGTTACTTTTCTCATAAGGTTTTGGAGCTCGGTTTTGGGCGATTTTGAATGGGATTTTAATTACTTGGATTGAATTAATATTTTTGACTCATATTTTTTACATGATTCCAATCTCGATTTAGTATTTGATTAATAAATTGAATTGGAGAATTTGGGAATTTTAGTAAAGAACTTTCTTAAACATAAATTGATAGTTCGAAGGCCGATTTGAGGTCGAAATTGAATGATTTTAGTATGATTGAACTCGTATCGGGATGGGTGTTCAGAATTTGTGAGTTTTGTTGGATTCTGAGATACGAGCTTGGGGTTAACTTTTTGGGTTGACTTTTTGTTTTTTATTAAAGGCCGAAGCTTTATTATCCGAAATTGTTTCCTATGGCTTTTATTTATGATATTAAGTTATTTTGGCTATATTCGAGCCGTTTAGAGGTTGTTTCACACGGGAAGGGCTTCATAAAGTATTGATTTAGCTTCTTTAAGGAAGATATCTTGCCTAAGTTTGTATGGGGAAACTTTTTTTTTAAAGCAAATCCACTAGCGCGAGGTGCCTAGGGCTAGTTTTATTAATAGTAAAAAGCAAACCACATAGGAAGAGTAAAAATAAGGGGGACAATAGCACCAATAGTGTTTCCTCTATGCCTTGGTTATATAATCACTCATCTGCGCCTCACATTGCCTTATGATGGTAGCCTCATGTAGAGGATCATGGTGTAGGTACCGGCAAAGTCTCACGAGGGCATATAATCTCATATCCATTAGGATATCTTTCCAAAGCCATAGGACAAGAGCAACACAAACTAGGCTAAACCATACCTTACTAATCCTATCGAGGCATAAAAAACCTCCACTACTAGCATGCATGTAAAAAGTAAGAACTAGAGAGTACAAAATATTCTATGATCATCGCAAAGTTTATAACATACTCTGTGATGATATTACAAATGAGTATACTAACATAGTGGTAGAATAAAGTGTAGTAAGAGTTAATGTGTTGTCCCTTCTTATCTAAATTTGCAACTTCTTCAAGTTGTAATTCTTTTTTATCTTCATCAACCCTCTTCAATATGTCTTCAAACTTCATGATTTCTTGTTTGAACGGTTGGATCTCGTAGATGTGGTTGGGGCAGCCTGTTTTTGTTTGGCAACTCTCATTGGGAGTCGTCTAACGTTTGCTTCCTCATTCACCTTGTCGTCCCAACTCTTCTTCCTTGTGTGAGTCTTCTTTCTTCTACACTGTGCATAGGTGATAAATCACCTTTTTTGCTACCTCTTGCCTGCATTTTTGTAGCATTTCATCTTCCTCTCCATCTTCATACATGTCTCTTCCTACATTCATTGGATTTGGAAAGTTTTGGATAGTGTCTTGTGCCATCAAAACATTTGCGTCTTGTGACTTTGTCATGACTGCCTTGTCTTAATGTTGCTCAACAATTTGTGTATTGCGTCTGTTCTTTGCCATATGTCCAGTGCTTAAATTATGAACTGAATTCACTGAGGGTTTAGTACTTACCAATGCATCCAGCAACAATCTATCCTCCAAAGCAATGACTGGAGTGTTTGCACGATTTTGCTGCTGCCCGGACTTTGGTGTTATTGTTGCTTTTTGATCATCAGCAGTAATAACATCTGAATTAATCTGTTGTTGCTATCAAGGACTTGATATTGCTGCTGCATATATAGTAGTTGGATTGTTAGCAATAACCTGCTGATGTCCAGTACTTTCTACTGCCTTGGCCATCGAAATAGCACCTACTGTGCTTGTTCCAATCTATTGCTGCCTATTTTTAGGGATAAAATCTGGGGCATTTGCGTTTGACTTGCTGCCTGAGTTCAACTTTGAAGAGCTACCAATTTTTGGCAAAGATGGTGAGCCAACTGAAAGCATCTCCTCATCTCCACTACATCGCTCACCTTCATTAGTCGAATCCCCCGCAGTTTCAGCACCCCAGTCTTCTTCATCATCATCCTCTCTTTGGTCAGCCCAAAGTTTGGATTTAATTACCATCTTCCTCACGTTGGCTTGTATAATTTCGTTATTGTTTCCAGTGGACAGTACTAACTGCCCAGACTCCCCACTATGCTTGCCAAACGACTCAGAATATTGGGAAGGAACTGTCCCTTATGATTTAGGTTGATTGTGCTATTTGTGTTATGTGAAAGCCGTGTACTCAAGGTGACGAGTGGGTACACGGGCTATATATGGTATTTGACCGGTTTAGACTATTTAGACTCTTTTCATGCCTTTAATTGAATTGCCATAACATGTTATATATCTTTCATTATTAATCTACCCTTACATGTGTTAATCTATCCTTGAATGCTTTATTTAACATTGTTAACACTTGCTCTATCTCTTACTTGTTATTTTTCTCTTACATACTTTAGTTGAAGTTATTGACTTTATTATTGTCTTGTTAATTATTTAATTGTTGAATTACCTTACTTAAAGTTATTATTTCATGGAATATCTTCTTGTTGAGTTATTGGTATTGAAGTTGTGAAAGTCATTTTCACATTGAGGCGAAGTTGTTAATTGTTGAGATGTCTTTCTTGTTGGGTTATTCACCTTTATTTTGTTATTATTGAGATTCTTGTTCATATTGTGGTTGAGTCGTGGGCTATATATTGTGGTAACTTTGGTATTGATAATTTTTGGTTTGTGACATATGGATACTTCTGGTGCGAGTTGTTATTGTGTTCAGAGGCGTATCCAGGATTTCACGAGAATGGGTGCACCCAGGGCGAAGCTATGTACGACGAACTGACTATCCTTTGCCGAAAAATTATACTATGTATAGGGTAAACTATTACTTATTTTTTAAAAAAAATAGACTTTGAACACCCTTGCATAGCCCACTGGCAAAGGATGTTAAACATTTAAACACCATTATTGAATTTTCTGGCTTCATGAAAGTTATTTTTTTTCAACCCAACTTCATAAATCAAAGAAAAAAGATAAAGAAACAAAAGAAGAAGTGAGATTGATAAAGAAACTTGAAAAATATGTGACTTTTGTTTGCAGAAAAGTTGGTATTTTGTTGATTTGCAGAAGACTTAGAGCGTTAGAGAGTTTTGTGTAGAGAGGTATTTTTAATTTAGGGATTTTGAAAGTATAACTGAAAGACTAAAGAAGCAGTTATGTAGTAATAAAGAGAGGAAAAGAAAAAGAACGTGTGTGCTAAAGAGCATGGGAAACTTTAAACTGCGGGCCTAGGAGCATGGGTATGTAGCCAAGTTATTAATTAAAGAGTGAAATAATGGATAATTTTAAAAAGGGTATTACGGGGATTCGAACCACCTACCCGGTGGATGGAAGGTGCACTTCTCTACCAGTGCATTACAATGTTCACTTGAGGATGGGTTCACCCATACAAATTCAAGTATTTTGTGCTGAAATTTACTGGTGCTATACAAGGTTTAGGGAAAGGAGGATGGGTTCACGTGAACCACCCCCTCCCATGTAAATTCGCCCCTGATTGTGTTGTGATATTTATGCGCATGCAGTGATATAAGGATAGGGGTTAATGCGCATGCATCGATATAAGGTGGGATTTACGTGTGTGTTGCTAGTAAGAGAATTACTTGAAGCCACGCGGTAACATAAGGTGGGCTAAAGTGCGTGTAGCTATTTTGGGGGGAAAATATTTTCAAAACTATCCAAATGTAAAGCTCAAATCGGCAGTATAAGGAAAGATTGTGTTATGTCTTGTGAATTGTGATTTCGAGGCGGTACCTCGGTTGTGATTCTTGTTGTACATTCTATGTTGAGACAACTTGTTGATTTGAACGGTTATTGTTCTTCCTTAAATCATTCATCCGTATTTTGATTATGTTTGGTTATTCATTGTTATCTTGGTGTTGGAACGATTGTGGCTTCTTGTGTGAGTCGTGCATTCTAAGTGATTTATTGTATTGCTTTAACATATCAATCTGTGCCTCCATTATAATTTGGTGAATTGATTGTCAACATGAATTTAATTGCGTGGAGTCACTATAACATATTCCGTTGAGTTGTTGGTAATATAAATATTTAAATAATATAATCATTGACATACTTTATTCTATGTGTCTCTTAAGATACAACTCGCTATCTCACTCGGTGCCTTACTATTTTAAATAGTTATCGCCTTTTTACTATAATTAGGTTCTCAAGTTATACTCAACACCATGTTGATTGGTTACCTTACTTAAAATTGTTATCACGTTTCTCTTTTGATAGATTCTATATTTAATACGTTAATTTAACTGATGTTTTGCTTTGTTTAAATATGACATTTTACTCAATTTTATTGATTTCTAAACTAAATCCATATGATGCTCTATTTTGTATAAGTTGTATTTTATTTTCCTTTAATCAATTTCTAAAATAAACTCATTATTTCATTTGACGCCTTACTTTATTCAAGATTTTTATTATGTTTTATGGTGTTTAAATATAACTCTCGATCATTTTAATTGATATTTGTTACGGTTGCAATGTACATGGTAGCACATAGGCCTTGCAGTGTGAAGGTAATTGTTATTATGGGCATGAGGTGCTATACGTGTAAGATTTAGAAATTGTGGTCCATGATTGTGATTTACGAGGTCAGGTGCCTTAGGGTAATTTGTGTTTTAGGCTCATGCGTTGGGAATGATTTGATTATTTTAGCTATCATTGGTTCCTCCTTATTTGAGTTCATTCATATCTCATCAGTGTTCTGATTATTTTGCTTCTCTATTACCCGTTTACTACTTGTTGTCATTTGCATATCTATCATTTCGTTGTTGGTTGTAAAATAATAATATTTTCGTTGTTAGCCTTACATTGATGTTCTTTCTATTGTTAGCTTCATGGATATCTTGTACAAGTTTCTTTGTCTAATAGGTGTCTTGACCTGGCCTCATCACTACTATATCGAGGTTAGGCTTTATTTTTACTGGGTACCGTAATGGTGTACTCATGTCACGACCCAAAATACAACTAGTCGTGATGGCACCTAACCCAACCTGCTAGGTAAGCCATTTAGCAACAATCCAAGTCAAATAAGATTAACTGAGAAAATAAATGATGAAATAACTAAGTTTTTATATAAAATCCCAAGGACTAGTAGTACGAATCATGAGCTTATAAGACTTAAAGTTCACAAAGATGGTATTAAATAAATACATCATCTGTTCGAAATGTACATAAACAAATTTTTATAAATCTAAAGCTTCCATGAACAAGAGACATCTACAATTGGAACGCAGGTACATCTTCAATGCCAGCTTCTGCCATACACAGCAATATCAGCTCCAAACTGTGCACGCAAAGTGCAAAAGTATAGTATGAGTACAATCGACCTCATGTACTCAATAAGTAACAAACCAAACCTTAGGTTGAAAGAAGCGACGAGCTTGGACAACGGACAGAGTCCAACATCAATAGCCAAGAACAATTCGTAACAATATAATGAAAACAGTACAAGTAATACTCAAAGATATGATGTTCAGCTTGTTCATCGATACGAAAAATAGGCATGCTTTTCAGGTATAACAATAAAACCCAAATCTTTCACCGAAGTCACCAAAATGTGAGTATGTCATAAAACTGTGATTTACCCCAAAAAATTTCAACAACGGATAGGATGTTTCATTATCAGATGGCATGAGGAAAGTACATCTCTATGCCTATATGTCAATGTGTATGTGAAGTCATGAATGTCACAATATTGTACAACATGAGGGAATGCATCTCTGTGCCTATATGCTAAGTATGCATGTAACTGTAATGCACCACAGTGATAAACTCATGTGTTCATGCTCTCGGAGCAGTCAACCTCACTCAACACGCTCAATCACTCAGTCCTCTCAGTTACTCAGTCCTCCCAATCACTCAGTCCTCCCAGTCAATCAGTCCTCCTAGTCACTCGGCACTTGCACTCTCGCACTCGGCATTCACGCTCGGCACTCGCACTAAGTAGGTACATACGCTCACTGCTAGTATGTCAGACTCCGGAAGGGCAGATCCTGCCCAAGCGCTAATATAAGCCAATCATGGCATGCTACAACGTGAAATATCACTCACAATCAGGCCCTCAGCCTCACTATGTCATCAATCTCTCCAGCCTCTCGGGCTCACAAATCTCATGCCAATCAGCCCAAACAATGATAACATGATGTGACAACAAATGATAATACAGCTTGAGATATAATATGCAATTGAATGAATATGACTGAGTATGTAATTGCAATTTAAGCAAATAACTCAACTGATGTTTTTAGCGTCAATACCACACAAGAGGAGGGTGATTTGTGTGGTACCCAATTTTCGCTTAACTGAACTATAGAAGGACCTGGTTCTTCTAGGTGTTCCAACTACTACTGTTTGCGGAATAATAAATACAGAAAATAAAGAACACAGAGATTTTTACGTGGAAAACACCTGGCTCAAAAGGTGAAAAAAATGACCTACTACTCAGTAGGATTTTCCCAAACTTCCACTAAAATCATTGAGCCAAAACAGCATTTACAAAAACTCTTTATAAACCTAAGGATTTACTCTAATCCCGTTGTAGCACACTGCCTCAACTGTTGCGACAACTTCAATTTAACTCTTAACTTGAATACTCTAGGTACCTAATACAATTGCTTCTATGAAAGCTGAAAGGTACAATGTAAAATCACCTATTACAATTAAACTGCAATAAAAGATAGACACATGGAACTGGTTCTTCTATCTCGTTCAAGTAGCTTCAGGTTCGTACACTCAAATCA